ATTTATCACGTTATGGGGACCAAATGTCCCCACAAGGATAGTAATACTAGTAAATGTTGACCTTGTGGGGACATTTTTGAGGCCCCCATGAGGAAACAAGCTTATAAATCATACAGAATTTATTTATTTTTTTACAGAATTCAAGTTTTTTTGAGAAAGTAAAAATGCAGAAAGAGTGTGCGTGTGTGTGTGTGAGAGTGCATCTGTGTGTGTGTGTGTGTGTGTGTGTGAGAGTGTGTGTGCGCGCATGTGTGTGTGTGTCTGACCTCTGACTGCAGGCTGGTGGGCCACCCGTCGTCCAGCACCGGCCCTTCATCTGCGCTCTGCAGGCCGATGTTAACAGTGAAGATCAGGGGTCGTGTGTAGTCGGTCACTTCCTGTGTGAACAAACAGTAAGAGACCATGGTAACACTTTCTATGAAGCCCGTATTTAAGAGTATTCTTAAGGCATTATAATGAATGCATAATGTATTATAAAAAACCTTATAATAGGAGTAATCATAACAGCAGTTTTAATGCATCATAATATTTACTTATTTGTGGTTATAGCTTTAATGATTTATAACACACAATGAACACAATGCATTCACTTAACTTACAATGCATTATATTTCCCATAGTTATAATGTATTATAAGTCTAATTTCTTTCTATTGTTAACTTGTTACTTTACTCAAAGCAGACAAAGACCACTTAATAACCAATAATAACAACAGCAATAATAATACAAATAAAAATTATACTTTTCTAGATATCTGATCAGATCACTGTTATACGGCATATTTGATTTTAACTATATTTATTGTAATTTCAGTAAGATAGTAAGATACTGTACAGATCTTAAATAAATAATGTCAACTAAGTCTTGTTTTCTTAAAAATCTGTCAAAATTAAGTGAACAAATATCTGCCAACAGAGTAAGAAAAATGTTCTTGTTTTTGTACGTTTTTTCCCCCCACACTACAGAAATCAATATTCATAAATACAAATCATTATTCATATGTGCTATAAACACATATTAACAACTATAACTATGGTAGAAACTGTGTAATTTTCTGTACTGAAATATTTTCTGTAAATGTAAATTGAATATGACTGGAGTGGATATTTCATAAAAATCTATATTTTTTATTATATAGTCCTCTTGAATATTTGGTGAATCACAGCATTCTGCGTTTAAATATTTCTGTATATTGACACTAAACTGATATCTCACATACACAAGCATTAGAAAGGTTGGGGTTGATAAGATTTTCTAAATGATTTTGAAAGAAATCTCTCCCTCTGCTCACCAAGGCTGCATTTATTTGATAAAAAATACAGTAAAAACATTAATATTGTGAAATATTATTGCAGTTTAAAATAACTGCATTCTATGTGAATCTCAGTTAAACTGTAATTTATTTCTGTGATCAAAGCTGGATTTCCAGCATGATCTTCAGAAATCAGTATAATATGCTGATCTGCTGCTCGAGAAACATTTCTGATTATTATCAATGTTGAAAACAAATAACAATTTTTTTTTGTGGAAACTGTAATACATTTTCTTTCAGGATTTTTTGATGAATAGAAAGTTCAAAAGAACAGCATTTATCTGAAATTCAAAATCTTTTCTAACATTATTAATGTCTTTACTGTCACTTTTAATCAATGTAATGCATCCTTGCTGAATAAAAGTAGTAATTTCTTGCAAAAATAAAATAAAAATCTTTCCGACCCCAAACTTGTAGATGTCAGTGTAGCTGCTAGATTCATAAAAATGGAGCTGAAACGGATAGAAGCGACTGCGATGTGAACACACACACAGAAAGCGGCTCACATGGACGTGGAAGAGCACTTGCAGGCAGTAATCTGAGTCCGGCCGCAGGGTGATGTCTCTGGGCTGCGGGTCTTCAGTGCTGTCCAACACGGCTCTGGGGAAATATCTGCTCTCCTCGAAACCAAAGCTGTACCTCAGCGCTGAACAGAAAAATAACACCTCAGTGTCAACAACAGCAGCATCTCTGTTTATGCTCCCATTATCCGATATATAGTTATTGTACAAGAGCAAATACGGTTCATAATGCAACTCACACTCTTAAAAATAAAGCTGTAATCATCTTTACCTCCTTTACAATAGTCATGCATTTAAACTTTATTGGTGAGGCACTGCTTTGTTTGATTCAGCCCGTAACACAAACTCGCAATTCTGACTTTTTTTTCTCAGAATTGTGAGATATAAACTTAGTTGCAATTGCGATAAATTAAGTCAGAATTGCGAGATTCAGAACTGTTTATTTTTTATTTTGTTATTATTATTTCTAGTGAATCGCTTGAACTGAATGATCGAAGTCACGAATTTGAATCAATCGGAGCGGTTCCAGCGTAAATGACTCACTCAATTGAATCGGTTCCAGTGTAAATGACTCATTCAATTTAATCGGTTCCAGCGTAAATTACTCATTCAATTGAATCGCTGTTCCAGCGTAAATGACTCACTCAATTGAATCGGTTCCAGCGTAAATTACTCATTCAATTGAATCGGTTCCTGTGTATATTACTCACTCAATTGAATCTGTTCCAGCGTAAATGACTCACTCAATTGAATCGGTTCCAGTGTATATTACTCACTCAATTGAATCTGTTCCAGCGTAAATGACTCACTCAATTGAATCGGTTCCAGTGTATATTACTCACTCAATTGAATCTGTTCCAGCGTAAATTACTCACTCAATTGATATATAAAATATACATATTCTGCTAACTAGTGAAACACACCATTAATACGACGAGCTGCAGCTCATAACACATGTTAGATGGAACCATTGTGCATTATGATCGAGTTTGTAGCTTAATTCATTATATTTGAAATAGTTTGACACTGCAGTTCAGTTGCTGACCGTTCAATAAGAACTCAGTTCATGCACATCTGATTGACAGATAAACCGCACATTTCAGCGTTGTGTTTCATGTTGTGCATATTTCAGCTACATAAAGTTAAAGAGGATAAATGTATCATTCAGCTGAACTGTGCACGTATGTTTTAAACACTTCTTATTTGGATACTGTTTAAGCGACATTCTACTAAGCATCTCCTTTTGCGTTCTACTAAAGAAATCGGAACAATAAATGACAGCCTTAAAATTTTTGGATGAACTAGACATCAATGCAGACTAAAAATATGGCCAGCATTTGATAAAAGGTGAATATTATGTCTGTTTGTGACTCTCAGACAGGTTTATGTTCTGTCCTGATCTTATATGTTCCAGATGGGAGATCTAGGGGATGCCTGACACAGTTTTATGATGGTTTCCACGGGCTCCTCTCGCTCTAAATGCTGGGGTTAAAGTGTTTTCTCTTTGCATTAGGAAAAACTGTTCTAATATGAAGGAGTGACCTTTCGAGCGAACATCTGAAAGATATTACTCACAGGCACAGGATGCTGGAAAATACAACAAATGTGCATTTATCATTCAGCCATCCGATTGGCCAGTCATTTTTGAGTTCGCCAATAGAGCCCAGTTACATACCGACTGTTTTTGGATCCGTCATCGGTGTCCGCGCCGTGACGTTCAGACAAACTGTGGCCAACATACACGACACTTCTCGACCTCCTCGAGTGCAGTCTTTATTAAAAACATTGATTTTTGAAGGCTCAAAATGAATGCTGATCCCCACGCGGACGACACTGCGAGACCTGTTTGAAAACACATGAAGTTATAAAACTGCCTCGGGAGAATTGCATTATGATTCATTTTCCCAAACGAGAAATAAAAAACTGGCAGAGATGAAACAATGTCAGCATATATTAAAAATATAGAACTAAAGATATTTTGATCTTGGGAGAATTTGATTAGAAATATTCAAGTTCATGTTGAGATTACATTGGTCTTTTTTTAGAAGCAAGAGACTTTTATTTTTGTTTATACTTCTCCATTTAATCACATTGCTGTCCATAAAACGATTACGATACAGTATTGAAGATATTATGGGATCATTTGGGATTATTATCAGTAGCTAAAACTTAAATCATTAAAAAAAAAAGTGAAGCGGAATCAAGATATAAGTAAATATCTAAACAAAAACAAAATATAAAAAAAAAAACATTATTTCAGCTAGTTGCCATGGCAACATTTCTCATTTTCATTTTGTTTAACTTGATGTAATAAAATAACTAAAACTGAAATAAAAATCTATAAAAACGAAATAAACATACTTTAAAAAAAAAAGAAATGACAAAAACGCACAACAAAAGGACTTAAACTTCAAATGAAAGTGGAAAATATATAAAAACTAATTCAAAATATTAATTAAAACTATAATTAGTATATCAGTGATACTAAAATAACACTGTTATACATCCACATCCATTTACGTCATATTAAAACTGTCCATTTGAATATTTGTGGAATTATAGTGTATTTTAATAATACTTCAGACAGTATTTTACATATTTTTTATTTTCACAAGTGATCATGGCTCAGTGTTATTTTAGTATCTTTGAGATATTGTTATTTTTTAAATTCTGATTATTTTTGTTAATCTTAAAACAATATTAATATTTTTTTTTTAGATTTTCTCTTTTCATTTTAGTTGAAGTTTAAGTAATTCTGTTGTGTATTTGTCATTTTTTATATAAATTTTTTTTTTATTTTAATTAGTTTTTTTAATATGTCTATATAGTTTTTATTACTTTTTAGTTCAGTTTTAGTTTGAGTCATTTTAGTACAATCTTAGTATCAGGTTAAACTAAATGAAAATGAAAAAGGTTGCCTTGGCAACTAGCTGAAATATAATAAAATTCATGTTTAAAAAAAAAAAATTCAGTTTAAGTTTATTTTATTTCAAGTTTTTTATGGTTTTAGTTTTAGTTAACTATAATAACCCAACAGCTCTGGAAATGGGCACCAGGTTGAGCTATTGGTTCACCTGCCCCGTGTGAAGTAGTGTAAGCTCACCAAAGCAGAACCGCGGCCCCTAAAGAGCCCACGGACAGATCTATGAGCGCATCTCCATTCACATCCATCATCCCATGAACACTGCGGCCAAAATAACGCAGACCTGGAGAGATGTCACCAGCGGCTATTCTCTGAGATAGAGCGACAAGAATTAAAAATTAAGAAATAAGGTGCAAAATATCATACCTGTTATTATATCCTGTATTTTGCCTTGACTGGAATGCCGTTGAGCAATGTTTATTAAATATCAGCGACTCTCAGCCGCGCGAGTCTTACCTGTTTGTATTTGGGTTGGATGCTGTTTTGTTTGCCGTAGAAGAGGTAGATGGCTCCTCTGTGATTGTCCTCCAGTGGTGCACCCACAACTAGCTCAGTGAAGCCGTCACCATTCAAGTCCGGAAGGGTGGACATAACCGCACCAAACCGAGAATCATGGCTCTTTTCTGATGGTCCAAGACTCCCATCTGGTATAAAAGAGCCCTGTGGAATATACAGAGAAAATATGAATTCAGAACTGAATGCTTGTATACTAGCCTGAATTATGCTACAATGTTGTCACATGACCTCGTAACGTAGTAAGTGGCATCCATACAATCTCAGACATTTGGATGAAGTTCATATTTTTGATAAAATAATTAGTTGATAATCAGCGATATATAATATAGTATAAAATTTCTGTCACGAATCCTGTCCATGAACTTCCGTTCAATCACCACCAGAGGTCACCCTTTCATTTCATTGACTCTCGCACAACACGAACTGTTGCATATCACCCTTACATTTGGATGAAGTTCATATTTTTGATAAAATAATTAGTTGATAATCAGCGATATATAATATAGTATAAAATTTCTGTCACGAATCCTGTCCATGAACTTCCGTTCAATCACCACCAGAGGTCACCCTTTCATTTAATTGACTCTCGCACAACACGAACTGTTGCATATCACCCCTGATTACACATCCCATCATTCATTGCACTGATTGCACACAGCACTGATTGCACAGCTGTTTCATATCACTCACTCAAACAACCATTCTAACAAAAGGACTTAAACTTCAAATGAAAGTGGAAAATATATAAAAACTAATTCAAAATATTAATTAAAACTATAATTAGTATATCAGTGATACTAAAATAACACTGTTATACATCCACATCCATTTACGTCATATTAAAACTGTCCATTTGAATATTTGTGGAATTATAGTGTATTTTAATAATACTTCAGACAGTATTTTACATATTTTTTATTTTCACAAGTGATCATGGCTCAGTGTTATTTTAGTATCTTTGAGATATTGTTATTTTTTAAATTCTGATTATTTTTGTTAATCTTAAAACAATATTAATATTTTTTTTTTAGATTTTCTCTTTTCATTTTAGTTGAAGTTTAAGTAATTCTGTTGTGTATTTGTCATTTTTTATATAAATTTTTTTTTTATTTTAATTAGTTTTTTTAATATGTCTATATAGTTTTTATTACTTTTTAGTTCAGTTTTAGTTTGAGTCATTTTAGTACAATCTTAGTATCAGGTTAAACTAAATGAAAATGAAAAAGGTTGCCTTGGCAACTAGCTGAAATATAATAAAATTCATGTTTAAAAAAAAAAAATTCAGTTTAAGTTTATTTTATTTCAAGTTTTTTATGGTTTTAGTTTTAGTTAACTATAATAACCCAACAGCTCTGGAAATGGGCACCAGGTTGAGCTATTGGTTCACCTGCCCCGTGTGAAGTAGTGTAAGCTCACCAAAGCAGAACCGCGGCCCCTAAAGAGCCCACGGACAGATCTATGAGCGCATCTCCATTCACATCCATCATCCCATGAACACTGCGGCCAAAATAACGCAGACCTGGAGAGATGTCACCAGCGGCTATTCTCTGAGATAGAGCGACAAGAATTAAAAATTAAGAAATAAGGTGCAAAATATCATACCTGTTATTATATCCTGTATTTTGCCTTGACTGGAATGCCGTTGAGCAATGTTTATTAAATATCAGCGACTCTCAGCCGCGCGAGTCTTACCTGTTTGTATTTGGGTTGGATGCTGTTTTGTTTGCCGTAGAAGAGGTAGATGGCTCCTCTGTGATTGTCCTCCAGTGGTGCACCCACAACTAGCTCAGTGAAGCCGTCACCATTCAAGTCCGGAAGGGTGGACATAACCGCACCAAACCGAGAATCATGGCTCTTTTCTGATGGTCCAAGACTCCCATCTGGTATAAAAGAGCCCTGTGGAATATACAGAGAAAATATGAATTCAGAACTGAATGCTTGTATACTAGCCTGAATTATGCTACAATGTTGTCACATGACCTCGTAACGTAGTAAGTGGCATCCATACAATCTCAGACATTTGGATGAAGTTCATATTTTTGATAAAATAATTAGTTGATAATCAGCGATATATAATATAGTATAAAATTTCTGTCACGAATCCTGTCCATGAACTTCCGTTCAATCACCACCAGAGGTCACCCTTTCATTTCATTGACTCTCGCACAACACGAACTGTTGCATATCACCCTTGATTACATATCCCATCATTCATTGCACTGATTGCACACAGCACTGATTGCACAGCTGTTTCATATCACTCACTCAAACAACCATTCTCTGCTGAGTATTGTTTAGCCTGTACCCTGTTCCGAGTCTCTTTGTGTTTCCTTGTTTTGCCTTGCCTTGCCTGTTTTCTCGGTTTCTGATCTTTGCCTGTTTTCCTGGATTTCTCCCTCTCGTCTCGCCCCTGTGATTCTGTCTCCCGATCGGTGATCTACGCTAGTCCTAGGACTATTCTTGTGTTTTGCCCGCCACATACCTGTTTGCCATTGTTCGACCCTGCCTGTTATGACCACGTCTCTGAAATAAAGCTTGCACATGGATCCACACGTCTCACGTCTCGTCAGCCCCGTTACAATTTCAAACACTAGCTAAATGAACGGCAATTATAGTGTACGATGAGTACACAAAACATGCACATCTTAACAGTAATTCAACAACAGACACTGATTCAAACTCACTGTTAAAACTAGTAATTCCTGGGTCTTTTGAACGACTCATTAAAAGACCAGGTTCATAAGAGGCATTCGTTTGTGAAACAAATTAAAACTAGTCGCGCTGTGTTCTGTTAAACCAGTTAATAATTTGAACCATAAGCGAACCGGAAAATATCTAGAATTAATTTTGCTGTGGCGCTGTAGATTCAGGGAGAGTTGCGTAAACAATCGGTGTGAATAGTAGTATCCAAGTCTTTCTGTGAATATGAACACGTATTCTTTGAGAAAGCATTATGGTGTTGTGTTTAGGATGTTGTCACCTGTAAGTTGATGGTGTAGATGTAAACTCGGCCTTTCTCCCACCCTTTGTAGAAGTACATGGGAGCTCCGACAAGTAAAAGATCCGTCAATCCATCGTAGTCCAGATCAATCGGTGCCAGCTGACTTCCATAATATGAGCCGATCTACAATTCACCAAAACACTCTGTTAGCATTTGAGATCTGCATCGGCCATAGTGTATGTAACTCTTTTGGGTGGTTTCTAGGTTGTACTAATGATTGCTAAGTGGTTGTTTACTGTCCCAAGTCCACCTCAGATCTATGTAAATAGATTTGAGGGATTTTCTCACCCATTTTCCCGTTCACCATATGAGAATGGTAAGCTTGTGATTACACAAGGCTGAATACATTACTCGATTTTTGCCCCGATTTACTGTCTGGAGAACTTGACGCTAGTTGCCAAAAGTAAATGTATGGAGATGGAATTGTTGCATAATTCCAAATAAATAGAATGAGATCCACAAATAAATCTTAAGAGTTTCACAAACATGAATTAAATTCACAAATAAATAAAATGAGATTTGCAAATAAAAAAACATTAAACATATAGCCTTCAAAATTAATAGAAACTAAACATATAATGATTAAGAATAAATTAGGCTATATGTATATGTTAAGACAGTATCAGAACTATTCAGTTTTTCTGAACTTGCATTTCAACCCTGAAAGTTCCTGCCGGCTTTACAAACACCAGAATACAGGAGACGCACTTTATCACATTCCTGTCTAAGTGCTTTCCTGAGGGCTCACACACACACACAAACACACA